TCCAGGGAAGCCTCGGTACGGTCGTATCCCACTAGGTGTCACACCTGACCTCTGACTCATCATCTCAGCGAACAAGTTGTCCTTATTAACTCCTTTAGTGTAATTAATCCTTTGTGACCTCTCTCTCAATTTTATACTATCAAGGGAAGACCAGAAACGAAGGCATGGTTGGCATGGCGCCCCAGTTCAGAATTTTAAGTATTATGTACTAGGAAATTGTGGCCCAGGTCCTGAGACAGAACCCTTCTGCGGACTGAGATTCTCCCTTTTTCGGCTCAACAAGACAGCGCAGGGATGGTCACAGCTGTCTGTACAATATTTGAAGTCATCTTTATCGTTTATTACCTTCTGGTCATGTGTAGCGCTTATCTCCTCTTCTTGGAATTCGACATTCCCGATCTCCCATTCCTTCCGTTCCATTTAATGATTAGGGATGCCAATGTAGCAGGTGTTGTCAGACTGAGAGAAAGATGTTCCTCTACAAGTAGTGATTGATTCAGAATCTTGATCAAGAGAAAGACGTTAATCTCACAGATTTCCTTACATGCCCTTTCCGGTTTGGTTCTGGTGGCAGCTGCCGGCAGGAGAGTGTCGTCGACCGTAAAAGTCCCCGCGACCGTGCGGTGTCCTCCTGGCGTTCATATTTTCTTTTTTTTACATCATACATCAATGACCGGTAATAAACAAGATTTGTAGTAACCACGACCTACTGTGTTGTGATTCCTATCACCGGGAGGGGGGAAAGCTTCCTCCCCAATCGCGGAACCTATACAATAGCTGAAGGAAGAAGTGTGACATCTAATGGAGTTCCCTCGCACCAATGCTTCCTCGGAGCGGCTCATAGAGAGCCACGGCCTAATGAATGAACGATGATCCATAAATGTTGCTACCTATGGATCATCCGCCGATCATGGTATGAACTAAGCCACCTGACCATACCATTCATCTCATGCGTAGCAGCTTGAAGTCTCAGTATTTTGTCTGGAAAAGTATGACATCGGTCACTTCTTGAATTCAAAACGCAGATTTGAAGGAAGTTGATAATTACTCGAGTATCACCATTTGAGTCATCATCAGCTTTCACCGCTTATGCTGGTCATAACGTGTGAGCGAATCTCAAGAAAGCGTTCGGTAGTGTGCTATTCCTATTGGCCGAAAATTGGCCTCGTGACATGAAAATGAGACTAATTTTTGGACTTTTGATCCAGGAAGTATCACCTAACGAAACGCGAAATTGCGTGTATGGAAGTTTTCATGAGATTCAGATTTCCCGATGTAAATGCATTGCACGGTTTCCCATGCAAAATACATGCTTCGCAACCCTGTCTGCTTGCACTGAATGCCCTTCACTCTGAACCGTTATGTGACGTAACAAGCGATCAATATTAATTGGTCACCTGTTCCGCTCCAGATTCGAGGGTTAAGGCAGGTTCGCCAGACAGAAATTCTGGAGAAATGGAAACCCTCGTAATCTTTCCAAGTAAATTACTTAACTTTATTAAAATAAAGACAATAATGAAATATAAAAAAGGAAAACACAGTTCTTCACAGTACTTGTTAAAGAATTTAAGTTATTACTTAATATTGGATGGGAGAAGGATCCAACTGGGGCAAATTCTACTGGAATCTGAAGGTTATTTATATTTCTGTTCTCTCTCTCTAACTCGGGCCACACACCTCACACAACCAAGGGACAGGGCTAACCTTTACGCTCGTAGGTTGTCCTGGAGTCAGCTCCGGATATGGTAAGGTCACAATGGTGCCTTCCAAATAGCGACTGACTCCAGGATCCAAGTTTCTCCTAATATCCCCGTTACCTCTGGGAGGAGCTAGAGTACCTTCCTCCAAAATCCGAGGTTCGGATTGGATATTCAACTTGGCTCCCTTTTGTCCCATTGGCTACCCTTTCGGTGTTGGCCTCGACATAATTTATTTAAAGTCACCATGATGTTGTGACTTGCTTATTATCTTAATGGATTTGGTTTTATGTGTTTGCCCCAGTTGGTTACAGGGTTGTCCCATCCTCCTTTTGACAATATTTCATTATTCTTACTTTATACTGAGTATTAGACAAAATCAGGTATTTTTCCTTAATTCCTTATAATATGGTCAGTAATTAAGTCATCAAATCAGCTTGAAAGAATCAAAACACTTTCCTTCAATATGCAATATTAGGATTAACAATAAACCACATGAAAGCCAATTTCTCAAAGGTTATAAAAAAATTAACATTGTTTCATTTCATTACAACAGACCACTAGGAAGGGAAGAGAAAGGTGGGGAAAATATTAGAGTAGAAAAGGATGAGATTCCTGCAACTCTCTTTTTGACACCTCAGGAGTAAACAGTATATTTCCTCCTTCTCTTCTTTTGTTAAAGGGCGGAAGACCCCGTTCTTCACATTCCTTTCGTAGGCAGTTATCCATAGATCCAAAATCATATTTTTAAAGTTGTGATTTGCTTTTAATGAAAAAAATGCTTACAATTTTTGCCTTGGCTCATTTTGTATCAAACATGTGACAAAATACCTTGCCTAGGTAAGGGTTGAAGGAGAGCTGAACAATAGATTGCCACGTATTAATTTAATCTAGACTTATTTTTAGATTTAGCTTCAGTTCATGCTGAGATGACTTTCAGATGAGTTGACAAGACAAGCAAATAAAAGGAAAGAGCCCTTGGTTGAAGACTGCTCTTTTAGATAGTGTCTTAACTGCATAGTTTGTAAAATATTTATTTTCACACGATCTGAAATTTTCTTCCTGTTGATTTTTATGTATCTTATGGTTAAGTAATAAAGCCCCCCTTATAAGGAGAAAGAATATTGTTGCCCATGTATACAATTTTGTTGAACTGCTTTCCACATTTATTACTATGGAAGCAAAAAAAAAATAAGAAAAAGGGAGCAATTTGTAGAAAGTGGAAATGTTGCATTTTTATTAAAAGAAATAGTTTTAGCTTGGAAAAATGTAATGAATCAGACCCATCAGCAGAAGCAATCAGACCCAATGAAAGGCAGCCAGAATTATGCCACTGTTGTTGCTCTGTATAATACTGTGGGTAAAGATTTTGGAAGCATTGCTCACTATTGAGAGAGGTCAGGCAATTGGAAGAGAAAGAAAGGAAGAAAAGCGATACATTGTAGAATTTCAATCAGTAGATATCCTTGATGAAATGTGATCCACTGCCAAAGAAGGTGATGAGCACTTATGAAACGGACCAGAATCTCTCTTTCCGTCCACCAGTAACCTGGAAGGATCTCATTTTAAACCCTGATGCCATCCAGCTCTTCTTCAAGGTTTTTCCTGTCTCTCTTTCATCCTGTTGCAATAGAATTTGCTCTTCTGACTGAATATGTTATGGTTGGTTTATCTTGCTGCCAGCTATTCCTGAAGGTGCAAGGAGATGTAGCACTGTCCCACCAATTGAACACCTGCCTCCTGCAGCTGGCATCCCTAAATGGTCCCTTGGTAGCAGAGCCTGAGGACGCACATACTTACCTGGCAAACTTCCTGCATGGGTTTTTCCTCATCACAACGTGAGAAACATGAATACTCTCTAGGTTCCCTGCACTTTTCCAATGATGGAATTGCAGAATGCTACATAGTGGAGTTCACATGCAGGAAAAGGAAAATTTTGCTCATGACCAGGCATGACCTGGGGTGTTTCCTATGGGATGGTCTCAGGGGAAATCACAGGATGTTGTCATTGAGCTATAGTGATAAATGTCTCATTTCTCCCCTTTCAGTTATATCATAATGGAAAATGGGGTTGTGCTCTATGGTGATGTATGACATCTCCTTCCCANGCAAATCAGGTATTGGGAGGAGGGAGACCAAAAAAAAACGGAATGAAATTAACATGTTAGAAAAGCGAGATGGAGTGTTCTACGTAACGCTAGGGAGATGAAACTTCAAATTTACTGGTAGAATTTAGTGTTGAGGAAGAAAGAAAAGTGAATAATTTTATTACTGTTGATGTTCTCAGGTACTACCTTGAATTACATAGTGAACATTCGTGTCACATTGGCCTCATTTATTTTCCATTTTCAGATCATATTCCAGGCAATTTCAGACACTCATCATTAGCATCGATACGGTCCCATTGATCTACTTATTTCCACGACAGAGGAATGAAAAATACCAAGGACAAGTTGACTGATTTAATTATACAATTTCCTTCAATTGTAGGAGGTAGAGAAGCAAGCATGCTTGCACGGACCTGACCCAGTTCTATCGAAGTATATGGTACCCATTGCAGGGAAATGGACAGAGTGGAACTTTATCGTGAAGGACGTCGACAGGAATGAAGAGCTAAGCTATGACGAAAGGAAGCGTCATTCTGGAGTTCCGATTTACTTCATTTTTAGAGACGAACCCCCACAAAGAAACTGAAGGGATAGAATTATTTTCTCTGTCCGTGATGACGCAAGGCGCAACCAACTGACGACTCGCACTATATTTAATCATGTACGCTTGTAAACCCTTACTTCATGGCAGAAGGGGTGAGACAATGCAATGAGCGCTGCCAGCGTCCCCTTTCGAGTACCACTACGGCTCTCGTTTCCCTATCCATCCGAAAGATGGCGAGCTAGAGCAATTCTTCGATTTTCAGTTAAAGTTGCCTCCCTGCCCTTTCGTGAGGCCGATTTGCAAATTCGATATCTCAAGGCACATCCTCAGGTACCTGTTTACATTCAACAGCTCAAATATTTTGGTGTGCATCTACTAAATGTAAGGAGCATTCAGAATATCCATATACTGCTGAGAAAATATTATTTTCTCGCGTTACGTTTGCATCATCGATGCGTTTCCATGAGCCCCGACGACTTCAAGTAGTAGCAGTTAGTAGCTGCACAATTTTTTAATGGAACGTCCCGGTTTAGCGTAGCTGACAACGAGATCGATGTTCAGATGAAGGGTTAACCATGCATACATGTTGGATCTTTAATCTTTTTTTATCAATGCGGTCCACTCGAAGTGGATCAAAGTGTCCATGTGGCACTCACTTCAAGAGGTTTGGGGACCACTGCCGACGGTAGTCCGGAATATGAAGTTGCCACGCTTATGAATCAACAATGTAAGCGAGTGGTTCCCAACCTTTTTTGTCTGTGGCAAACAGAACTATTCATAAGAGAACACTTGACTTTTGCGCGACACGCACAGGCATTTACTTAATTTAAGCAGGGAATGCTAACTTTGTTCAACACAGCAATTTGATACGATTTGGAGTTGTTGATAATGCAACTCTCAGCTCATTTTCCGATGGGAGAAGGAGTTCCCTCTTAGTGGTCAAGATTGTTTTCAGAGTAAAAAAAATTTAATTTCCTTTTTTCATTGAGTCCTACCTGGATCTCACAGCGACAAATTCTATTTTCGGAGCACTCTTTCTCTGATGAAATAGGGAAATATTCTCCAAACGTCAGCCCTTTTGAAGGCGTGGCTTGGATACCAAGAAATTGCTTTTTTTTTAATTTTCCTCTTGAAAAAGAGGAAAACAGGAGGATTTTATGCTCTTACAGCGGACTGCTCCTTCCTGGTAGGAGATGCACCAAGAATCCGGATTGACGGAGCCGCATTCCGCCGTGTGGAGAGAAGCTCCATCCGTGAATTGGTTCTCGCAGCGAAACATTACCATCGCTCTTTTTGGTGCTGGGAAACTTCCTTCCCAGCCATCATAGGACGTCAGGGTATTTTGTATCATCGGGGGCTCTCTCAGGCACAGCCCTGTTTCAGGTTTGAAGGCTAACATTCATGTTTTTAAATTCTTCAAGAGGAAAACGCATTTTTCAGCAAACAATTCTTCAAACAATTTTTCAGCTTACATCGAACGTAGGACTGGTACCCTTCGCCTTCAACGAGGGAGCCATTGACGTGCATGACCAGCTGACACGAACCGTCAGTTTTTCTGTAGTTGAAGCCGTAGCAAGGATTTGGATACTGGAACGCACAATATGCACTGCAAGATCCGAGATACGATTTCTTGGATTCCATCACCACATTCTCGTATCTTTTGAGTGAATGTACGGGAAAGAAGGGAATAAAAGGGACACAGCAAACATCTTGGAAAAGAAGAAACAATGCCAAAAAGGCATTCAGTTTGTTTGCTCGCGAGGTACGATGATCCATAGACTTGGAAATGTCCTTGTGTAGGACCATACGACTAAAGAAGGGGAGCGTGTGGGTGGACTGTTTCGCCTTCAAATGGATTGCATTGATGTTAACGATAACCTCAATCGCCTCTTATTGATTTGTTCCCATTACTCAAGAAGGAATTCATCACTGGACTTGATTCATGGTGGTTTCCTATCCTCCCTCTCTTTGACTGGTGGTCCAGCTTGACCTACATATTGAACAATCAGGTCACATTGGCTTCATTTATTTTGCTTTATTTGTTCAAATATCCGGAACTAGGTCTAGATCTCTGGAAATTTGGATATACTGCATTAACGTAATCACTATCCCATTGAGCTGCATTTTTCCATTTAAGACGGAATTCTTCACTGGAGGTGATTCATGAAGGCCCCCTTCCTCATTCTATTGGGCTGGTAGGCTACCTTGAATTATATAGTGAACATTCGTGTCACATTGGCCTCATTTATTTTCCATTTTCAGATCATATTCCAGGCAATTTCAGACACTCATCATTAGCATCGATACGGTCCCATTGATCTACTTATTTCCACGACAGAGGAATGAAAAATACCAAGGACAAGTTGACTGATTTAATTATACAATTTCCTTCAATTGTAGGAGGTAGAGAAGCAAGCATGCTTGCACGGACCTGACCCAGTCCTATCGAAGTATATGGTACCCATTGCAGGGAAATGGACAGAGTGGAACTTTATCGTGAAGGACGTCGACAGGAATGAAGAGCTCGCAGACGAGATAATGCCGATTCACGCAGCGAAGACAGTCTTACGATCTCGAATGGAGGGTGGAAGACGATGTTACCCTCTGGGGGTTGCTCTCCTCAGGTGTCCCCCATGCCGCAGGGCCATTTTTCATGTCGACCTCTTCGATTTCAACTTGTTTTCTACTTTCCTTTTCTCCAACCGTGAGATGGATTAGAATGGCTATGTAGGTCCTTTTATGAATTATTTAATCGAAGGTCGACTTCCAACATTCCTAAGGCAGCTGTTCAAGCTTATACGAGTATTCTCTGCACATATTAAACATGCATGATATGCCATGGCATGACTTCATCTACTTCATTTCTAGAGTACTCTGCAACCCTTCCCACCCACCTAAAAGAACTATCGCCTACCGCTTCGCTTATGCCCTCCATCATTAATTCCTCAATGAAATTATCCTCAATGTTGGGAAGATCGTGTGTGTTTTTTGAAATTCACCTCCAGAAGGTAAGTGGATATTTTTGTAGGCAAATATAGCGAAAGTCAGAAAAGTACTTTTCTTGAAGTATTTCAGGTTATAATATATTAATAGCATATCCCGAAATGAAGGGAATGTTGACTTAATCGATATCAATTATACTGAAAAACTAGGACACCTGGGAACTCGCTGAATAATGTTATACCAAGCCAAACATCTGACTTATAGAACCCACCTTTGTTAGCGGCTCTATTACCATGCCTACAAAGTGAAATGAGATAAACCGGAGGAAATTGTAAAATTGGGAAGATCTCGTGAATATTTAAAAGTTATCGCAAGAGAACCGTGAAATCGCGGGGGAAACATCCCCTCATGAGTAAAATCTCGAATGGTTCTGAGCTTTCATGAAAAGAATGTCAGTTGAAGGAATAGTGATGAAAGCAAGTATATATGAGTCACATGAAAATCCAGATTAAATAGAGCCACTAATATCTTATTCCAAGAAAACTGAGCGGTAGAGTCATGGATGAGAAAGCGCGGGCGCCTGCCCGGCATCAATAGTTTGTTAGCCGAAAGGGCAAACACACTCGCTATGGACCCGCCTTCGGCGCTGTGCGACGAAAAAAAGTTGATAATGCAATCATGCCATTTGTTTTTGAAGGACACCCCTAATGATGCTGTCAAGCTCCTTTGATAATGGGTTTGGCAATTCTCGCTCCTTTGGGGTTACATATAAAAAATAAAATTGTTTCAGAAAATATTCATCATCTGATTTCCAGCATAAGGAGCATGATATAAAAATTCAGTGCATCGTTTGGTGTTCCGATAGTGAATTAAATTCCTGCCTGTGGTCGTCACACTCTTACTTACGCATGAATCTAAAGATCTTAGTAGCGGACACATCAGCTATGCGTAGATTACAGGGAATTTTATCGTTACCATATATATTCTGGGGCAAGGACTCTACGGAAGTCCCTTACTCGAAGCCATCTAATGGTCCCATACAGTTGTTTATTAAAAACGCGTTATTCCTTAAATTCTGCCCTTACATAGACCTTCCCGTTTCGTTGAAGTGTATATAGCATTGGCCTAAGCGTCCGTAAGTGGAATAGACATAGCCACCTTATATCGAAATGTCAATGAAATATTTTCTACCGTTTCCCTGTCAGAAAAAATGAAGCCTATTCGCTTCTTCAAGCATACCGGTACGC